TACCATATCAGTACGATTTGATGTACGATGAGGTGTCAACGCACATTCGAACGACGATACTGGCGGAGTTTGACGACATGGCGGCCATGGTTCACGTGAAAAGTGGATTATGGCGTAACTCAACCATACTGTGCAATAAAGACGATAGTCGTTGCATCCAGCTAGCATGATGAGTTGTCAGCAGGATTAGACAGCTGCAGCCTGCACAAGCCCAGCACGTGTTGTGTAAGAAGAGGATGACGCGTGGTCAGTAGATCTACAGCACTATCAGCCTACCCGACCAAAATTTGAAATACCAGAGTTGATGGTGACTAGGTTCCACCGTGTCGAGGGGTAAATACTATCCTGGTAATGCCGAGACTCGTGCTCCGTATCAACGCTTGCTCCCTCCGTATGCGTATTTCCGGAGCTCTGGGTATAATCGCGTAAACTGCTGAAGTGAGTATAGCGTTCTCACGTAGTGAGTAGCGAGTGGTTCATATGGTGGAGTCTGGACAACGGAAGGCAGGCTAACGATGAGCTTCGCCGTCAACGGCGCAAAGATGCGGGCCGCGCTTGCCTGCAAAGCACATGTCAAAATCCGAGGCCTAAATCGACGTGCGGTTGCTGACTGTGTCTGTTAGGCGCCCGACGACATGATTCACGAAAGACGCTCCGAGCGAGACGGACGACTCATACAAGCTGTTCTCGTAAGTTCCGGAAATATGACCTCCCGCGTGCGGCGCATGCACTACAGGAGGCCATAGCAATGTCTAAATTGTCATCCGCTCTTGACGCATGCACAGTGATAGTGCCGCTCGACTTCACGAGAAAGGGCGGTAGCACCCCATATCTTTATCACCTGCTGAACATCATCGTCGGGAACGATGTATGCGACGAAAGCCCTGATACTGGACTGACGGTTCCTGCAGGCCCATCAACCTGGTCCTTCGAACAGCGTTGTGACCTGTTCCCAGGCAGGATCGTACCATGGTACTCGCGGATCCGGCTCGGTCCAGCAACCACGTCGCGTTAGAAGACCGGGGAACATGTCATGGGAAAGAGAAACCCCAGTCTGTTGGAGGCTGCGCAAAAACCTGGGGTCAGAATGCGCTATGCACCTTGAAGTTCTCGTAGATATCAAGTGATGCGCCACCTGGTGGGTACTTGTCTTTGTCTCGCCTCTTAATCAACCCCACTTGCACTGTGGTACAGAGCACTATCAGCGCGATAATTCGGTCGGTGGCTGCTGATACTGATGCTGTGTCACTGACATGTTTAGGCCAAATGTGGTGATGGAGGCCGAGTGGCATGAAAGTACATCAGGGCCTAGGCGCAAAGGTCAGAAGAGATTGAGGGGCTTGTGTGAAAGGTAAAATTGCGCTGGTCGGCATGTCCCGTGGATGGAAGGTACGAGTCGGCGACGAGACTTCAGGACGCAGGAACACATTCGGCAGATGTGAGTGAAGGGTAGTGTATATGTTCATGAAGGAGTTCATGGGATTTTGTCCTGCAGGGGAGCGTGGGGAGGGTTCCGAGACGTTCCCGGGCCATCTGCCGGGTCCGCAATCGCAATCGTTTGACATGGTCTAGCCGTTTGCGGCTAGCACCAACGCTATCGAACATCTCGACTCCGGGGATGCGGCCGCCCGGCAACTGCCTCTAGCATGAACGCGGGAGTTGGAAATGAGCTAATGGTAAGCATCCGCATGGTCCCTGATATCAATCGCATGAAGGGGATTGTCGGCATTGTGTTTGTTGTTGGTAATGCGGAATTTGCGAGTGGCTTGCCGCCCACATGTCATGAGGTGGGTGGCTCATCGCAGTACCACGAGAAGCTGTCCTTGGGTAGTCTCTTCTGAACCAGCAACAAAGAATCTAGGATAAGTTTTGAAAGAGGGCCTTCGATGAGCGCTACTCGATAGTATAGCTCCCTTTCCCCTTAGATCTCGTTCACGGTTTTGTAGCCGGGCAAGAGGTCGAAAAGGCGATATTGTGACAGGCCTTACTTCCGGATTCCCCGTTCATGCTAAAGAATTGCATCTCAGACAAGGTTTCACTCCAGGGACAAAAGCTTGATAGTCGATAGAGCCAGGATTTCTCAAGATCCACCACAAGACTGGTCATCTCTTGGCTGCGGACGAATAGGACTCGCCATTCAGATTTCAGTCGAGGTGTCATGCGCCTTTTGCGTGCGCGGGATTGGACCGCACACCCATTCGTATGTACCGCTATCGCATGCAGCAATTCGCGCTATTCAGTGTCGCTTTTCGGAGATGGACGCATCTCGGTGACCGACGGCGAAAACAATGGCGTGTGGATATGGCCTCTTTCAAATTGGCAAGGTGATACACGTCCAGAAGCGTGCGTCTGGACGCTAAGTCTCACAGCCATCCTGGAAGCCACGATTTGCTCTTTCATCTAATTTCCTAACTCGAAAGTGAGGTCACGCGTAATGAATGTGGGACTGCGACACGCCGTTTGGCGGCTGTCAGAAACCGACTTCGCGCGATGATTGAGATCGAGAAAACAGCCACGACAAACGCCCACCGGCTAGAATTCACATCTTCTGCCCGATACATACTACCTCTGCGCCTAGACTGATATATTTGACCTAAGGATTCGGGGCTACTGATTAACAAAGACATCCGACATCATCACCTTTCTAGTGTGCCACGCTTTCCATTTTGACATCTGTCACACGGGTTTAGGACTAGCATTCACCAGCAGTATCTACCTTCACTTCGGTATAAAGCTCGTGTCTCCAACGCATCATTATCATCACCAGCACCTCACTTCTACCATCTTCACCTCTCTCTTCTACTCTCTATTCAAGATCTCCAACATGTTCAGCACCAACACTCTTCTTCTTGCCCTTGGGCTTGCTGCTTCCTCAGATGCTTTCTTCCGATTGTCTTGCCCGGGACGAACTGTCAGAGAGCGACTTGATCCCATTGTCAACCCTGGAGCCGTTTCTGGCCATGTCCACACGATCTCAGGCGGAGCGGCCTTCAAAGCCTCCATGACCTACGCAGACACCCGAGCTTCCAAGTGCTCGTCATGCACGATCAAGGTAAGACAGTCACCTCGTTTTGGTGCTACATGACTAACGATTTGCAGGAGGACATGTCCAATTATTGGACGCCGCAGCTTTACGTCAAATACAAGGACGGATCCGGCTTTGCTCCTGTCCCGGTTATGGGTGACCCAGACGACACCAACGGCGGCATGACCGTCTACTACCTTCAGCGTCGAGGCACCAATCAGACTGAGAAACTCCACGCTTTCCCGGAGGGCTTCCGCATGGTCGCCGGTGACCCATTCACTCGCAGCTACGACGGCAGTCTTGCCGCCCAGGGCATCTCCTTCAACTGCCTTGGTGCGAACAAACCGGAAACTAACGGTTTCCCCGACTACCCATGCCCAGGTGGACTCCGAGCCCAAGTCTACTTTCCTCAGTGCTGGGACGGCAAAACCCTTGACCCTGCCGATCACAAGAGTCACATGAGCTACCCGGAGGGCAATGTGTACAACAGCGGCAACTGCCCAGCCTCGCATCCCGTGCACATGATTTCGATCTTCTTCGAGATCTTCTACGACACTGCCCTATTCGCAGACCAGTGGGTTGATGGCAAGCACCCCTTTGTCTTCGCTCAAGGAGATGCAACCGGCTTTGGTCTCCACGGCGACTTCCTGAACGGATGGGACGTGAACGTGCTTCAGAACGCTGTCGACAACTGCAACGACGCCGGAGGTGCGGTGGAAGACTGCACAGCCGTGACCATGTTCACCGACCGAGAGTGCAACGACTGCAAGATCCCAGTATCGGTCAATGAGAAGACCAGTGGAAAGCTTGCTGCACTCCCCGGCTGCAACCCCGTCACCTATGGCCCGCAACGCGCTGCACCAGGAAGTTGCCCAGACAGCACCACACCATCAACAGACGGCGGCTCCACCGACCACGACGACTTGACCGCGATCCAAGGCTGGGAGTACGTTGGCTGTGGGTCCGACAACGTGAGCGACCGCGCCATGAACGGTTCATGGACCTTCAATGACTACATGTCCATTGAGATCTGCGTCGACTACTGCAATGCCCGCGGCTTCACCTACGCAGCACCCGAGAACGGCAACGAATGCTTCTGCAACAACAGCCTCAACCCCAAGTACGCGCCCAAGGCCGGTATCATGGGCTCATGCACCAAGTCTTGTGTGGGCAACGTCAAGCAGATCTGTGGCGGTGCGAATGCGATGAGCATCTATCACAAGTGCTCCGGCGGCACTTGCCAGAACAACAACGATGGTGGTGCGGCGCCGGTGCAGAGCAAGGCTTCCGTGGCTGCTAGGTGGATTCCCCTGTCGACCCTGGCTACGGTCGCAAAGGCTGCAGAAGCTACTCCGGTGGTTTTGTATGGGTAGACGCGGCATGGATTGCGGACGAACCCTGCGATGTCCAAATTAACGGCTTTGATATCTCCCTTTCAGGGGCTCTTTTCTCTGTAAATCTGCAAGCGCATCAGATATATGATTGATGAATACAAAACATTCTTTCTACTTCACCTGGGCATCGTTCTCCTGACCTGCTTTGCTGATGACCGCCTGAGTGACTTTCCATCTAACAAGAAATATCGACATTCATAGTCAACTGTCATTTAACACAGGAGGCGCAACGCTATAGCGCGGACGGATGCAAGGTACCCGGCCGGCTAGCTTGGAGTGTGGCTCTAGTTTGGTTGTCGATAGCACTAGTGCGTCAGCGCCTTGATCAGAGTGGCTGTGCAACCAGGCTGGAAAGACCCGACATAATGCATCTCAGAAGCGAATCGAGCAAATTGCATATAAAGAAGGCAGCTGAAACAATGCCCAAGAGCACAAAGTGAAAAGCATGGCTCGAAGCAAACCATGTGGAGTAAGAGATGCTGGTACATAATGTAGTTCGTGAAACTGATGGCATAGTCTTCGTATTTAAGCAAACTGCGTCCAGACGCTTGTCAAGGCTTATTATCGGAGCCAAGTACCTGCTACTTGTGACAGCCTTCGTGCTCCGAGCTTCTAGATGACTGCATCCTGTCACCATTGTCATATTGCTTTCCAAGTATCTTTCTCTCAGATGCGCCATCCTCGAGATCATAAGCATCAAGCATTCCGTGTTCTTGTAGTTCGAATCCAAAGTCCTGTCGTGTTGCCGATGGTCGAGTGGCTTCGGGACTGCCGACCAAAGAGGGGGCCACGTGCCTGAGGAATAGCCGCAGGGTTAGGAGAGAACCGGTGATGATGATGAGACTGGCTTCGATAAGACTAGTGGATCGTGTTAGTGAGGGATGCAAAGAGCTGATGCTTGACGAAAGCTGCGCACTTACATCCACAGACTAGGATAAACCGTGTCCCAGGAAGCGTCTTTGGAAGTCAACATTGGGGGAAGCAATGCAACGCGCACCGCACTTGTCACGCATGTACTAGATCCTTAGTCAGCGATACTCGCGCGCTTGAACTTGAAGGCTTACATCGAGCCAACGCTGAAGATGCCTATCACCATAATCTTCCGCTCTCTCGACATTTGTAGTCGCAGAACCATGGGTATCGGTAGGATGATGACCATGATATCCGTGATGATGTTCAGCACCCCGGTAGCGATGTATAATGCTGCTTTGTTCAAACATTGCCCTTCTGTGATGGTGACGTCGATATTCTTCGCAAACGGCTTGCATGCTGCAAGTAAAGAGATAACAATACCGACACAAGATCCGACGACAACAAATATGGTGAAGTACACTCCAGCGCGAAAGCCGCGCGCGGGGCTTAAGTTTAGATAGAGACAAAGGAATGACAGCTTTGCGAAGGCGAGAGCTGGCGAGTATAGTACAGTAGTTGTTAGAGTTATCTAGAGTTCTAGAAGTTAGCAAAAACTGCCGCCGAGGTTGCCCACAGGAGACCGACTCTCGCGATAATGTTCAGTTGATGGCCGGTAAGTTCCCAGGCATGTACACCAATGAGACCTGCTGGTGCCCTGTCTATAATGCTGTTATGAATCTCGTTCCATAAGATAAAGGAAGCAGTGGACAGAACTTACAAATAATGAGTAACTGTACAGGTATCGCAAAGACCTGCCAATCAGCTCATGTCAGCTATGAGCTTTCTTCGACAGAAGGATCGTGGACACCTACCCATGCAAGGAGCAGGCAATCTGGTGCAGCCGTTAGCAAAGATGCATCGCGTTCACGGGAATGACTTACAGTCATCAGACGACAATTTCTTGACTAACACAGCTTTGGTGTAGGCTCGAACGGCCAAAAGAAACGTCGAGATGATCGTTCCCACGATTCCAATCCAGAGGATGATGACTTCACCTCGTCGTTGTGGGTTCTCGAGGTCTACCACGTAGTCATCTGGTGCGCGTACGATTGGCTGAGTGAGATCCACCATCTTCCTACGAGCGTGCTTGCTGTGGAAGCGGCCCTCAAATTGGAATGTTTTCAACAGCGCGACGGGGGCATTACGTCGATTTGAGTCTGGCTGTCTCGCAGGATTCAAAACAAGCTGGGTTGGCAGATCCAGCCAAATGGTAATCCGTCTAAGCGAAGCAGGTTGATTGATCCGGACATTTCATGTGCCGCCACTCTGAGCGAGGCTGAGAGCATAATGCAATGCGTCCTGTCTATCCCCTGTAATGGCAATGATGAATCTCGATCTGATTTTATCGATAGCGCAACACTTCCGACTTAGCTTGTAGGCAACGTGTTTACTCTCAGCCTTATCCATCTTATCTGGGTGCACCTGAGATCTCAAGGTTATCTGCATCGAGTACCTACCCAGGTAGACTCTACATGTGTCGAATTAGCCTTCATTCCACGAAATGATGTACAGTGGCTTGAATCAGAGCTCCCGTCGTGCCGCACAGCGGAACTGCCGTAGCGTTCCTGCTAGCTGAATCCTGCGGGACAGGGTCGGGAAAGGAGAACATGCGCGAAGGATGCAGGCGAACGGGTTGCGGGTCCATCATCTGCTCAGCCGTGTTCTTACTTGCTGTCATTGGATGAAGAGTTGTGTTGCTTGATAAGACGGCAGAGCCGCAACGGCGTTGATCCTTTCGTGTAGAAGACGCCGCAGCCGTGCTTCCGTTGACTCCAGAAAATGGCTGGGCGTTACTCTGTTGGGATTAGCGCCGGCTTGATTAGTAAGTTTCTCCGATGAATGCTCCTCCTTCCCCATTCCCTCATGGTCACGATGCCCAGACTCGCCACAAATTCCACGGCAGACTCCAGATTTGATGTAGTCGAGTTGATGCAGTCGGCACGGAGGTCTCTGCCGGAATGATCTAACGGAGCGTGGAGATCATCTTCGGCTGCTGCCATCCGCGGTCTTGCTGACTCGGTCAATGAGTTTTCACATCTCGGCTGGCATCTGGTCCACCTATGGGATCAGTATCAAAAGGCTGATGACCCGGTATCTTAGAAACTTCTGAGCTGTTTCGTCCTCCTCGTCAAGGACCAGTCACCGCCTGTTCTTGCATCATGTTTTATCTGAGCTTGGCCTTGGGCACCGCGACCCTGCTCAGCGTAACGCGCGCCCAAAACGAATCCTACTGTGTAAGCTTCATGTTGCCTTGTGAGGCTGTTCTGACTTTCTTTAGTGCACAGCTCTGACCCAGAGTCTTGTAGCCAAGCGCGTAACCTACCCTGGTCAGAATGCGTACGACGCGAGTATTGCCTCTTACTTCGATGGAAAGAGCAGACTGTCGCCCAAATGTATCGTACAGCCCACAAACGCCGAGGAAGTGGCTACAATTGTCAAGGCTCTTACGACTGCCAGCACGCAGAAGACTTGCAAATTTGCCGTACGATCTGGTGGCCATACTCCGATTCCTGGCGCCAACAACGTCGACGACGGCGTCACAATCGATTTGCTGAACATGAATGGAACCACCTACAATGCTGATTCTGAGGTAGCAAGCATCTTACCAGCGGCGCGATGGGGCTCTGTCTACGCAGCTCTTGAGCCATTAGGACGTATGGTGGCCGGAGGCCGAGGCAGTACCGTCGGCGTTGGTGGCTACCTACTGGGTGGTGGGATATCTCACTACGCACCTCGCGTTGGATTGTCATGTGACAACGTGATCAATTTCCAGGTCGTCCTTGCCGATGGTCGCATCGTAAATGCCAACAAGACTTCTAATGCTGATCTCTTCACCGCTCTCAAAGGGGGTAATAGCAACTTTGGCATCGTAACACGTTACGACATGGAGACATTTGAGAACGAAGACCTCTGGGGAGGTATCGTTTCATGGCCGGCATCCACCGTCAACCAGCATTTCAAGTCGCTCGTCGACTTTGGTCTCGACCCGAACAGAGATCCAAACGCTGCTCTGATCCTCTTCCAAGGATACTCAACAGCGAGTCCCGTGAACGTCGTAAGAGCTGCGTTTGATTACACCAAACCTGTGGCTCGCCCGGATGCCTACAGAGAGTTTCTCGCCGTCAACAACACCCTCAGCGATTCTACCAAGATCCAGCCAATGAGCGCAATTGCTGCCGAGTTTGGTAGTGACACGACTAAACGGTACGTCTCTGCTGTCTTCGATGTAAGACTATCGCTAATACAAGCAACTAGAGTTCAATTCCGTACCCTCTCATACAAGATTGATTATGAGACTCTTCAGGAGACAGCGCGTCTCTACGACATCATGCTGACGGAGCTTCGAGCCAAGGCCTCTGGACAATGGCGCATCTCATGCTTGCACCAGGTCTTTGCCACAAACTACACGGCGAACAGCACAGCCAGAGGCGGCAACGTGCTTGGGTTGGAACGCTACACTGAAAATTTCATTATGTATCAGTCATACCTGCTTTGGTCCGAGGCGAAGGATGATGACCTGTTCATTACTCAGGGCAAGATGCTGACCGACGGCATTCAGAAGTTTGCCACAGAGAAAGGCACAGCGGTGGAGTACCTGTACCTCAACTATGCCGATAAGGACCAGGATCCACTTTCGGCTTATGGTGCTGACAAGGTGGCGTTCATGAAGACGGTCGCGAAGAAGTACGATCCGACAGGCGTCTACCAGAGTCAATTGCCGGGCGGGTTCAAGATTTCTCAGGTGTAAAATTAACAAACCTACAACAGCCTACAAACCTCAAATAAATTACCCGATTAGGAAGGTCGCAGAAAGCGTCGATCATAGCAATGTATCTTCTTGCGTTGCACGTCGTGGAGGGCCCGGAGACCTTGCTGTCGTCGGCGCGAGGTTTGCCACGGATGTCCGCTATAGATTAGTACGTAACTTCACGGGTCGATCAAATCAGCTTCGCTTAGAACTGAAAGCTCGGCAAACAGATTAGTGTAATAGCTTTCTTAGAATTATGTTTTGTGTTTACAGCGTAATAGAGTATCTTAGAATTAAAAAATTAGGCTTAAATAGATAATAGCTCTCTACTAAGTGTCTTAAAAGTTATAATTAAAGTATAACACGTACTTTATAAAGGTATACGTAAGAGCGCGCTAAGCCTTTCTAGCTTAGTAGCTAATACTCTAGTAGGTAGCTTATCTTAAAAAAAATTGCTATATAAGTAATATAATTACTTTATTATTTTAAAATTTAGATAAAATAGTAATATAACTATAGCTTATTAGTTAAAAAACTATTAGAATAAGTTATAAAGTAAATATACTATATATTCTTATATATAAGTTAGTATATCTTCTTATATTTCTTTAAAGCTAGTACTCTCTTTATACTTATACTATATTAGAATTTTTTATAAACCTCTACTACTTAATAGCCTCTACTATAAGATAACTTATAAATAAATTACTAATAGTATTATCTTTCTTTTATATAATAGTAAGAACTCTTACTCTATACTTTAGATACTATAAGCGCCTTCTTTATTAAGGCTTACTCTTATTAACCTTAACTTTAAAGCTAGTCTTATAGAATAGCTCTCTAACTTCTTCTACTAGAATTCTCTTTTATATTAAGTTTCTATCTACTTTAGTAATATCTAACTCTACTATTACTAAAAAGACACGCGCCTTAGAGATCTTAAAGAGATATCTTTATCTAGTAATATAAATAGAAAAATATAGATATTTATTATAATAGTTAACTCTCTTACTCTTATAGCTATTATTCTTTAAGTATACCTAAAGAATAGTAAGCTTAATAAATAAGAAAGAGAGTTAGTAGAGTTATAGATTAAAGTATTATAAAAGATAGTAAGAAAGGCTAAAAAAGATTATAATAATATAGAGAAAAACTTTATAGCTTATATTTAGTATAGAGAAAGTGTCTTATAGATAAAGTAGATGTTATTACTTATATATAGTAATAAGTAAAAAAGCTAAATATAATTATTATATAGTCTAATACTACTATAGAAGTTAGAAGAATAGTTATATAAGTTTAGTATAGTATTATAAATAGCTATTAAAGATAGTAATTATAGCTTTACTATTACTATTACTATTACTATTACTATTATAGAAATAAATAAGCTATATATTATAAATTTAGCGTTATTAGGCTAGTTAACTTATTAGAATTTTTAAGTTAGTAGCTTTATTAGTAATTAGATAGAACAAAATTTAATCTCTACAAAGTGTAACATAAACTAGGGCTTAAGGCCGCCTAGAATTATGTGCAATCTGTTTTATTCTAAAATGAACTTGTGTTGTCTTCACAAATATGTTGATGGTCTATCGAAGGTGGTGGGCCTCGCTGCGTCGGAGTCGTGAGCGGCTGCCCCGCGCAGCTAGCGACGCCAACCTCGTCGCGTCGCGTCGCGACCTACAAACCTCATTTAGCTGCAATGACCTGATCCGCTACATGCTGGCACAACTCAACGGCCGGCTGTTTCTTCAAGATGACGAACACAGGAACCTCAACGCCGAATTGCTTAAGGAACCAGTACCGCAGCTCAACCGCAATGAGCGAGTCAACACCAAGCACGTAGGCTGGCTTGCCTACGTCGAGATTCTCCGCCGGTATCGACAGCGATTTACTCAGCTTTCCAAGTAACGCCGACGTTACAATCTGCGCAGCCTCCTTCGTACCAGCGGCCGCCTTGATGAGAGCGAGATAGTCGACGGTTGCCGCCTCGCCTTCGCCGCCAGCCCCGGTGCCGTTGACCAACTCGACCTGACCCAGACGAAGGAGATTCTTGAACAGCGGCTTACCCACCCAGTGCAAAACGCCGTCCTGGAACATCCGATACAGCTTCGAAGGCTTATCATGGATGTTCACCACCTGCGCCGCGCCGCCGGCACAATCGTATCCAGGATCACACAAGACATCCAGAATCGCCATTAGCTGCTTCTGCGTCAGCCCACCCAGCCCAGCGCGCAGACTCTTCGTCACGTCCTCAAAGTTGTCACTCGCCCATCCAGCCTCTAGCACCAAACCGAGATCGAACGAGACGCCATTCAGCCCACTGGCGGCACGGTGCCGCGCGAGCGCATCTTCGAAAGTGTTACCGGCTGCATAGTTGGCTTGCGCGGGGTTGCCGATGATGCCGCTCATGGAGGAGAGGAAGACCATAAAGTCCATATCCTTGGGCAGGAGTTCGTGAAGGTTCCACGAGCCTTGATACTTGGGCGCCAGTGCACGGTGGAACTGCGAGACGGTCATGTTGGAGAGCATGTTGTCCGACAACACCATCGCCGCCTGGATGCAGCCCTTGATCGGCGGCAGCGTTTTGCTAGCTTCCTCGAGGGTGCTCTTGAGGACCGCGCGGTTCGAGATATCCGACGCCGGCGCATGGACTACGACGCCTTGGGCTTCCATCTCTTGGATGAAGGCGATCACATCGGCGCGTCCAGCTACGCCTCGCGACGAGGTAACGAGGAAATGCCGTGCGCCGCGGGACGCCATCCAGCGCATGATCTCGCGCCCCAAACCGCCCAAACCACCGCTAATGACATATGTAGCTTGCTCCTCAAACGCGTACGCCGGCTTCTGCGCGGGCTGATACACCACCACATCTCCCGACTTTTCGAAATCGATGACGGCCTTCCCTGCAATCTTACCGCCCTGCA